TTGACACCTACTAACCAATCTTCATCTCCGTCAGCAGGTATGGTTGGTGTGGCTGACAGTTGGCGAGGTCCTACACCACAGTTTGGAAGGGCTGACGTTACCATCACTGTTCAGAGGGCCAAACAGCTAAACTACCTTTGTGTTGTGTATAACCTTAACGACAGGGCGGTCAGTGTTTGTGTTAGTTTGTGTTGTGTTTTTGTGTTTGTTTACGTATCGGTGTTTTTTTCATATTATTTTTTTGGTTTTGTTTGGTTTTCGGTCTCAATTTTCCCCGAAAAATAGCTGTCAGTGAAAAATCGCCAAATATCGTCAACACAATCGCTGCCCGCCCAAATCGCAAAATCCAGCGACATACATACATACATACAATACACACATACATACATACATACATACGTACATATAAACAAAAAGCGTAAGTTCGGCAGACGGGGCGAGCCTTAACTCATCAAAATTTCCGCCATAACTCACAAACAGTCGCCATTCTTCCGGAGTTGGTTCACTGTCACTTGGCATTACAGCTTGGCGCGGAGACGGGATGTGTGTGGTGGTGGGTCGGCTGTGATGGCTCTGGTGTGAGGTGAGGTGTGGTGGTGGGCGTCGGCTGTGATGTGGCTCAGTAGAGGGCGGCTGTGGTGGTGTTGATGTTTGGCTGATGGCCATGGTGGTGAGGGTGAGGTGTGGTGTTGGCCAGGATGCTCTGGGAGAGGGAGTGCTGGTGTTGGGTCAGATGGTTTATGGTGTGAGGTGGCTGTGGTGGTGTTGTGCTGGTCTGATGGCTCTGGTGAGGTAGGTGTGGTAGCTGGGCTGTATGGCTCATGGTGAGGGCGGCTGTGGTGGTGTATGCTGCTGTGATGGCCTGGTGGTGGAGGGCGGCTGTGGTGGTGTTGTCGGCTGTGATGGTCTGGTGTGTGAGGGCTGTTGTGGTGTTGGCGTCGGCTGTGATGGCTCTTTGTGAGGGGGCGGTGTGGTGGTGTTGGCGTCGGCTGTGATGGCCTGGGGTGTGTGAGGGTGAGGTGGTGGTGTTGGCGTCTGTGATGGCTCTTGGTGTGAGGGGAGGTGTGTGGTGGTGTTGGCGTCGGCTGTGATGGCTCATGTGTGAGGGCGGCTGGTGTTGGCGTTGGTCGGATGGATTCTTGTGTGGAGGCAGTGTTGGGCGTCGTACGTGAGGCCCTGTGAGGGCTGGGGGTTGCACGATGGCCTGGTGGAGGGTGAGGTGTGGTGGTGTTGGCGTCGGCTGTGATGGCCTGCAGAGGGCGGCTGTGGTGGTGTTATGTTCGGCTGTGATGGCCTGGTGGTGAGGGTGAGGTGTGGTGTTGGTGTCGGCTGTGATGGTGGCCTGGTAGAGGGTGAGGTGGTGTTGGCGTCGGCTGTGATGGCCTGCGGTGTGAGGGCGGCTGTGGTGGTGTTGGCGTCGTGATGGCCCTTGGTGTGAGGGTGAGGTGGTGGTGGTGTTGGCGTCGGCTGTGATGGTTTGGTGTGAGGGCGTGGTGGTGTTGGCGTCTGTTGTGATGGCTCATGGTGTGAGGGCGGCTGTGGTGGTGTTGGCGTCGGCTGTGATGGCTCATGGTGTGAGGGCGGCTGTGGTGGTGTTGGCGTCGGCTGTGATGGCTATGGTGAGGGCGTGTGGTGGTGTTGCGTCGGCTGTGATGGCTCTTGGTGTGAGGGCGGCTGTGGTGGTGTTGGCGTCGGCTGTGATGGCTCTTGGTGGAGGGCGGCTGTGGGGTGTTGGCGTCGGCTGTGATGGCTCTTGGTGTGAGGGGTGAGGTGTGGTGGTGTTAGCGTGGCAGATGGCTCATGGTGTGAGGGCGGCTGTGGTGGTGTTGGCGTCGGCTGTGATGGCCTTGGGTGGTGGAGGGTGAGGTGTGGTGGTGTTGGCGTCGGCTGTGATGGCTCATGGTGTGAGGGTGAGGTGTGTGGTGTTGGCGTCGGCTGATGGCTCATGGTGTGAGGGCGGCTGTGGTGGTGTTGGCGTCGGCTGATGGCCTGGGGTGAGGGCGGCTGTGGTGGTGTTGGCGTCGGCTGTGATGGCTCATGGTGTGAGGTGAGGTGTGGTGGTGTTGGCGTCGCTGTGATGGCTCATGGTGTGAGGGTGAGGTGTGGTGGTGTTGGCGTCGCTGTGATGGCTCTTGGTGTGAGGGTGAGGTGTGGTGGTGTTGGCGTCGGCTGTGATGGCTCTTGGTTGTGAGGGCGGCTGTGGTGGTGTTGGCGTCGGCTGTGATGGCTCATGGTGTGAGGCGGCTGTGGTGGTGTTGGTCGCTGTGATGGCTCATGGTGTGAGGGCGGCTGTGGTGGTGTTGGCGTCGGCTGTGATGGCTCATGGTGTGAGGGCGGCTGTGGTGGTGTTGGCGTCGGCTGTGATGGCTCTTGGTGTGAGGGGTGAGGTGTGGTGGTGTTGGCGTCGGCTGTGATGGCTCATGGTGTGAGGGTGAGGTGTGGTGGTGTTGGTCGGCTGTGATGGCTCTTGGTGTGAGGGGTGAGGTGTGGTGGTGTTGGCGTCGGCTGTGATGGCTCATGGTGTGAGGGGTGAGGTGTGGTGGTGTTGGCGTCGGCTGTGATGGCTCATGGTGTGAGGGCGGCTGTGGTGGTGTGGCGTCGGCTGTGATGGCTCTTGGTGTGAGGGTGAGTGTGGTGGTGTTGGCGTCGCTGTGATGGCTCTTGGTGTGAGGGCGGCTGTGGTGGTGTGGCGTCGGCTGTGATGGCTCATGGTGTGGGGCGGCTGTGGTGGTGTTGGCGTCGTCTGTGATGGCTCATGGTGTGAGGGCGGCTGTGGTGGTGTTGGCGTCGGCTGTGATGGCTCATGGTGTGAGGGCGGCTGTGGTGGTGTTGGCGTCGGCTGTGATGGCTCTTGGTGTGGTGAGGTGTGGTGGTGTGGCGTCGCTGTGATGGCTCATGGTGTGAGGTGAGGTGTGGTGGTGTTGGCGTCGGCTGTGATGGCTCTTGGTGTGAGGTGAGGTGTGGTGGTGTTGGCGTCGGCTGTGATGGCTCATGGTGTGAGGGCGGCTGTGGTGGTGTTGGCGTCGGCTGTGATGGCTCTTGGTGTGAGGGCGGCTGTGGTGTGGTGTTGGCGTCGGCTGTGATGGCTCTTGGTGTGAGGGCGGCTGTGGTGGTGTTGGCGTCGGCTGTGATGGCTCTTGGTGTGGGGTGAGGTGTGGTGGTGTTGGCGTCGGCTGTGATGGCTCATGGTGTGAGGGCGGCTGTGGTGGTGTTGGCGTCGGCTGTGATGGCTCTTTGGTGTGAGGGCGGCTGTGGTGGTGTTGGCGTCGGCTGTGATGGCTCTTGGTGTGAGGGTGAGGTGTTGTGGTGTTGGCGTCGGCTGTGATGGCTCATGGTGTGAGGGGGCGGCTGTGGTGGTGTTGGCGTCAGCTGTGATGGCTCTTGGTGTGAGGGTGAGGTGTGGTGGTGTTGGCGTCGGCTGGATGGCTCATGGTGTGAGGGTGAGGGTCGTGAGGGCGGCTGTGGTGGTGTTGGCGTCGGCTGTGATGGCTCATGGTGTGAGGGGCGGCTGTGGTGGTGTTGGCGTCGGCTGTGATGGCTCATGGTGTGAGGTGAGGTGTCGTGAGGGGCGGCTGTGGTGGTGTTGGCGTCGGCTGTGATGGCTCTTGGTGTGGGGGCGGCTGTGGTGGTGTTGGCGTCGGCTGTGATGGCTCATGGTGTGAGGTGAGGTGTCGTGGGGGGCGGCTGTGGTGGTGTTGGCGTCGCTGTGATGGCTCTTGGTGTGAGGTGAGGTGTCGTGAGGGGCGGCTGTGGTGGGTTGTGCGTCGGCTGTGATGGCTCATGGTGTAGGGTGAGGTGTTGTGAGGGCGGCTGTGGTGGTGTTGGCGTCGGCTGTGATGGCTCATGGTGTGGTGAGGTGTGGTGGTGTTGGCGTCAGCTGTGATGGCTCATGGTGTGAGGGCAGCTGTGGTGGTGTTGGCGTCGGCTGTGATGGCTCATGGTGTGAGACGGCTGTGGTTGTGTTGGCGTCATGTGATGGCTCATGGTGTGAGGTGAGGTGTTGTGAGGGCGGCTGTGGTGGTGTGTTGGCGTCGGCTGTGATGGCTCTGGTGTGAGGGTGAGGTGTTGTGAGGGCGGCTGTGGTGGTGTTGGCGTCGGCTGTGATGGCTCATGGTGTGAGGGTGAGGTGTTGTGAGGGCGGCTGTGGTGGTGTTGGCGTCGGCTGTGATGGCTCATGGTGTGAGGGTGAGGTGTTGTGAGGGCGGCTGTGGTGGTGTTGGCGTCGGCTGTGATGGCTCTTGGTGTGAGGGCGGCTGTGGTGGTGTTGGCGTCGGCTGTGATGGCTCTTGGTGTGAGGGTGAGGTGTGTCGTGAGGGCGGCGCTGTGGTGGTGTTGGCGTCGGCTGTGATGGCTCATGGTGTGAGGGTGAGGTGTTGTGAGGGCGGCTGTGGTGGTGTTGGCGTCGGCTGTGATGGCTCATGGTGTGGTGAGGTGTTGTGAGGGCGGCTGTGGTGGTGTTGGCGTCGCTTGTGATGTCTTTTGGTGAGGGGGCTGTGGGTTCGTGGTGATGGTGGTGAGGCGGCTGTGGTGGTGTTGGCGTCGATGGCTCGGTGGAGGCGGGTGGTGTTGGCGTTGAGATGGCGGGGCGGTGGGTGGCGTCGGTGATGGCTCATGGTGTGGGGTGTGTGTGGGTGGGGGTGGTTGTGGCTTATTGTGACGGCCTGGCGGGGTGAGGGGGTGCGGGCGTGAGGGGTGGTGTTGGCGTCGCTGGATGGTCTTGGGAGGCTTGTGGTGGTGTTGGCGTCGGCTGTGATGGTTTGGGTGTGGGTTGTGATGGCTGTGAGGGCGGTGGAAGGCGTCGCTGTGATGGCTCCGGTGTAGGGGTGAGTTGGGTCGGTCGATGGCCTGGTGGGGGGGGGTGTTGGCGTCGGCTGTGATGGCTCATGGAGGGTTGGCGGTGGTGTTGGCGTCGGTGTTTGGTGAGGTGAGGTGGTGTTGGCGTCGATGGCTGGGGGGGGTGATGTGTCGGCCGTGTGGTGTGGTGAGGCGGTGGGTGGGCG